TACCATATTGATGTCAGAGAGATTTCTGTAAACCTATGCATGCTTGATATGCTTATATATATTTTTTATTTTTATTTTGTTTGTTTGTTTGGGTTTTTTTGAGAAAATTTTGCTGTAGGCTTTGTGCTTGCTGGAAAGATGGAGAGAGAGAAAGTTTGAAATCGTCCCCTTCTCCCAGGGCAGGGGATGGCTATGCTGCAATCTCTTCTCCATTCTTCTCTTGGGATTTTGCCCCCCCACACACACACACACGTGCCAGACATGAGTTTTAAGCTGCTGGATCCAGGACTTGAACCGCGGTTGACTATGTGGGAGTCCAGCAATGTAACCATTACGCCATCTGCTGGTCCCCATATATATATATATATATATATTTAAATTGCCAGAGGGCATGTATATTTCCCAGGGAGGGAGAACACACCTGCCAGTGGGGTGTGGGCACATCGCGATTCCTTTTCTTCCTTTTCTCCACCCTGTTAGGATTTGGGGCATGCACGCATATACTCCTGCTGTAATTTTTGAGTAACTGGGACTGGGATTCGAACTTGTGGTGTCTGAGTTCCCTTAACCACTAGGCCGTGGGGTTGGCCTCAAAGTTACGGAGACAGAAAGCAGGCAGGATGGAGGATGGTGGAGCTTGTCTGGCATGCTGTGAGTGAGTTTTAAGGAGTAAGGCAGAGCAGGCTCAGGAATAGCCAGCACAGGGAGCCTGATATCAACTCATAAGCAAAAAAAAAAAGAGGCGCTCTCAATAACTCAGGAAGTCAGCAGCCTGTTGTGGCTCTGGCATGTCTGAAGGGGTTGGCCACAGCGCTCCGATCAGGAGGGGCCGTCTCCTGGAGTCTCATGTTGTCCCAGGGTCTGGCCCCTCCGGGTGGGAAGGCGTCCCTGATACATTGTCATGGGGAGGTGTCCCAAACAGTGTCTGTTTTTTTCTTATTTGGAGAGGTTTTTGCTATAGGCCGCGTGCGCTCACCAGGAAGAGAGAGAGAGACAGAGAGACAGAAAGCGAGAAATCAACCCCCAGGGGGATGGCCACGCCGCAATCCCTTCTCCTCCATTCTCCTCTCG